GGACCCAGGTTCAATCCCTGGTCTGAGAACCGAGACCCTGCAAACTGCATGGTATGGCCAAAAAAATTAAAAGTAAACCTTTCTTTGAAATGTAAGTAATCATGACACGTGTGGCCTGGATTTGTGACCCTGGAGCAGCCCCAAACAGTTTCCCAAGTGCTCAGGATGAGCAGACAGGACAGGAAGGTAGAGCGCTGTCCCCCCCTTAAATGCCCTGTTAACACGAGATCCCAAGACACTGCAGCCCACATACACCCTCCTTAGCACATCAGCCTTCTCAGGCAGACTTCTCTGGCTTCCTCCCTGGGCTGAGGGAAACCTTCTGATTAGAAGCCTGAAGGACCCCAGAACTGCCCTGAGGAAAAAAGCTGGGTGTGGCTGCCAGGGCTGGGACTGTGTTCTCAGCTCCAGGAGGGAGGCCGACGTGGACAGGAGCGGCCCTGTGTAAGCCTGACTGATCAGCGGTGAGAACAGCTGACTCCACAGGACACAGGACTAGAAAGAGCTTCCAACTTCAGCAGGCAGCCACCAGCAGCAGCCCCTGCGCAGACCCTGAACATGACACTATGGGAACAATGCAAATGATGTTCCTTTCACACAGGTATCCCTGTGCCCACTCCACACCCCTGCACAGGCAGGCTCCCAGCAAACGCTTCCAGAATGGCCGGCCTCTCCTCTCCACCTCCACCGAGGCTACCACCCAGGTTTCTCTCTCACCCTCACCCCACTCTTCCAACCCACCATCTTGCTTAACATCCCTTGACAGCTGACACCATAGGGGTCCTAACAAGTGGGGTATAAGGAACTTGTTACTAAGGATAAGGCAGCTGAAGTCAAGAAATTTTTTGTATAAATTAGAAAAGATTCTAGCTTATCTTGGATTATATTTTGAGGGGGAGAGAAAATAGAGGAATTCAGCCAGGAAATCAGCAAGTGCCAATAGCGCTCAGGAAACATCAGTTTCTGTGACACCATGTACAACTGTGCAACCTCCTGCTCTTTTAGAGATTTAATTTATAAATGTGTGTGTGCATGCAAGTCTGTGCATATATTATGTTGGGGCCAGTATACATCACGGCAACCTGGCGCTGTCCACCAAGTGCTTCTCGCAGGCTAATGCTGTCTGACCACCTTCCTGCCTCAACGTGAAGAGCTGATCTTCCTGATAAACCTAAGACTCTGAATAATCTGAACTCGCAATGCGGTGGCACAATACAGTGGAAAGATCATGGGTTTGAGGATCAGGTAGATTGGGCATCAGTCAGGTTAGATTGGGCATCAGTCTTATTTCAGCCACTTGTCAGCCAGGGAACTGTGGGAAAGTCACTATCCTGAGTCGGTGTCCTCCTCAGCTAGAGCCCTGACAGGCTCCTGTGAGATGCAAGTGAGCACAGGTGATGCACGCTTCATGCTTAGTAAATGACAGTCCCCAGTCCCCCGATCTCTCACTAACCTCCCTCACTCCTCCAGCTCTAGCCAAACCAAACCACTGGCTGTTTTCCACTCATGCCCCTTAACTCACTATCCATGCCTTTCTTTGTACATTGCTTTTCCCTCTGCTAGATATGCCCTCCATAGAAAGGGGTGTCTCTGGTTCAATCTTCCTTCAAGACACACCTCAAATGCCCTCTCCTTGGCAAGCCAGGTGCCCCAACCTCTCTTTTCTCTTGAGCATCATTATGTTTTCTCTGTGGTTATTACCGTCTGCTTTGAGTGGGGGGTACATTCCTTAAATTCCATCCAGTCAGGGGACATATTCTTACTCATCTTGTGTTCCCACCATAACAGCTCTCCACATGGAAGATGATTGAAAAAAATAGCATAAAAATGACTGAAATAATAAATGAAGTCACAAGTCTATTGACTCTAGGACACTTAGGAATTATGTTCCATCTCTGCAGCTAAAAGAGTTTTCCTAGATCTAGTGGGACAGTGCTCATCTGGGGGCTTCCTTGGCCTCCTACCAGCCTTACTAGGCTCCCCTCCCTGCCACCCTGGCTGGGACTGTGTGCCCTTCAGGCATCCACGTTGCTTAACCACAGCACTCACCATCATCCCACCGCATATCCCACCCAAAACCTCAACCTACTTGAAGAAGGCCCTGCTGCCCACAGCCCTTCCCTGCCTACTCTCGGGGCCGGGAGCTGGCTCTGTGGCCCAGGCTGAAGACAGTCAGAATTCCCAGTGTCGTGCCCACCGCCCTACTGGACCTCTCCCTTCCACACCCGCCGTTCCCTCTAGTATGCTGTGAGCTCAGTGTCTCAGACCATGTGGCCCTGGTCCTCCAGGTACCAGGATCTGTGTTCTCGAAACCTTCAAGGAAGGGCCCATGAGTCGGTAAGAGCCTTTGTGCCCCAGTCAGCCGGTCAGGCCAAGGCATCAGCAGGGAATACATGCAGTGCAATCACACTGGGATCATGGCCTCAAAAGTTCAGCCCACAAAGGCACATCCTCAGAGCCTTTCCAGTCTCCCAGCTCCTGCACTGGGTGGGACTTCAGCCTATGACCTGGGATAGAGAAGCTTCTTCACAGCTTCACGGCCACCCTTCCCCAGACTTCCACCTTGGTTCCCCACTACCTACATTGGCTGCACGTAACTACTTCTCTGCTCAGAAGACACCATTCATCCCTCCAGATCCTACAGCACTTTTAGTAAGACCTCCAACCTTTCAACAAAGTCTGCCTCCTCTGTTATTTTTACGAATTCCTCTCTAGTCAATACTGGCTGGACAATACTCTCTACAGGTAGATTCTAATACATGCTCTAAAACAGTCACCTGGCCCTAGAGAGAAGCTTGAGTTCTTTGGAATTTCTTACATCATGTCAAACTGAAACGTGCCTCTTCTGTAATCCTTTATACCGTCACCACCGTGACTCCTCAGCCCTGCTCTCTGAGCAACACAGAAGATGGCAGCTGAAATTCACAGTCACAACCCTTGTATTTCCTGTCTGTCCCAGGACCTTACAGGGCTTACAAGACAGGGATTTCAGTTTTGATGCAGTAAGGGGCTCTCCTCTACTGCTCCCAAAGTGTGGTGCCCAGGGAACCACCTCCAGGTGTGACCTGCCTTGGCCACTGCAGGGAAAAATAGGACGACCCCCTCCCCAGCAAGGTCTAAAGCCAGGACTTCTATTAATGCAGCCAAGCTAAGTCAAGTTCTGTGGGCTGTTTATGAGGCTGGGTAAAAAAATGCACGGATTGATTTTGGGAGCCTAAGGACAGGAGTTTGCCTTTACCCCGCCACGTCCCGTCGAGCTGGCTTGAGCTCTGAGCTCTCTGTTGTCCTTGTCCGGCACGTTGGTGACTGGCCATCAGCAATCAGCCTGTCCCCTCACCCTGCCATGAGCTCCTGCTCACCTCCACTGTAGGGGTCACGCCTGGAGGCCAAGATGATAATACTTGCCCCCTGAACTTTCATAATAAACCTTCTGGGTGATGGAACCCACTCCTCTTGACAAAGTCTATTTGCCAGGCCTCCTGAGCCAAGGAGGCTAATAATGCCTCTTAGTACTTGTGAGGAGCCAAACACTGTAGCCAATATTTAATACGTGTCATCATCTCACAACATCCAAATGAAATTGACCTATTATTGTTCCCATATAACAGGAGAGGAATTTCAAGCTCAGAGAGGGAGAGGCTGACTCAAAGGAATAGCAGCAGGTCTGAGAAGAGCCAGGATTTAAATGAAGGACTGTCTGAGCTGGCAGAGCCCTCAGAGACGAGGGAGGCCAAGTCCCCAGGATGGCGGACACCCGCCGCCCGCCATACCCTTGTCTGGAGGGGGTGGGTGAGGAGTCAGTTTCCTCGTCTCCAGCAGCAGGGCAACACATCTGTCAGAGGCTTTGTGCAGGTCCAGTGAGCCATGCAGTGAAAACCGAGCCGGCCACGCAGGGCAGTGGTGCCTGCTGTTACCAGGAGAGCAGCATTGCATCGAAGAACCAGATGTCTTGGCTGGTTGCAGGAAAAGCTTATGTAATAAAGCTTTCTCATGACAAGGAGCCGAGGTCAGGTGTCAGAGCCAAGAACTACTCCTTTGCTTTGGTAAAATGTCGAATTAAAAGAATTCTCCTTTCTCATCCGAATTTGAGTTCTAACTTCTCCCCGCCCCTGCCCTACACTAACCCTCGCTCCCCTGTCCCCTCTCCCAGTTATTTACTGAATTTGGAGTTTGAGACCACACATCCCAGGATGCCTGAGGCAGTCCGGTCATCCTAGGATCCCATCCAGCTCAGCATCTGCCTCCTCCTTTCACTCTCAGAAGTGTCCCAGTTTGGACAATAAATTAAATTGAATATTCTGGAAACTTACACACACACACACACACTTTCCTTCCCTGGCACCTGTTACCCTCGCATAAATGGGAATAACACTGCCCACCTCAGGAGACTAGCCCTTTGTAAAACCCACCAAAGCCAGAAGTTCCTCTCTGCCTTCCCTCTGGAGGCAGCTTTCTGAGGCCAGTCTACACACAACTCTGTTTCATCCAGGAAGCAGTTCAGTGTCAAGCTAGCTGTTCATGCAGAAACCTCTGATTTGGGGAAACACAGCCTGTTGCGGGAAGGAAACAGTTGCTCTGAAGAGAGGAGTTGTCACATGTGCATGCAAGGAACAAAAGTAACCTGTTTTTGGTCTTCCAAACCTGAGTTGTGGCTCTGCCCTTCTCTGCTCCCTTAGTCCCTACAGAAGATCCCCTGGTTCCTACACAACTCTCTCTCTCTCACACACATATACACACATACTGTCAACCCAAGGAGTTCCTTTCTGGTGGGCTCTCTGGACCTTTCTATCAGGAGCAGGTTGGAAACGTTTGCTCAGAAGACCTCTCAGGTCACCCCAGTGCAGTCAAAGGAATGGTCCTCCTGGTCAGAGTGCTCCCTGCTCAGCCACAACTGAGTGGGCTGTCCCAACCATGCTCATAAGGCACTGTGCATTTATGTCTTTAGCTGGGGGTCTTGGCGGGGCTTCTGACTATGCCCACCAAAAATGCCCGGTGACCAGCAGGCACTGGTGTCCCTGAACCAGCAGAGCAATCATGGGATTTGGGTCACTTCCTTGCCTACACCTATCCTCATCCTGGAGGAAAGAGAGGTGCTCAAGAGCACGGCCCTGAGAGGTGAGGGAGTGGCTGTGACAGGATCAGTTCCCCATGGCCTCACCTGGGTTGACAGCCTCTTCCTGGAGGTTTGTTAGTAGGCCTGCCACCCACTTGACTCTGAATAAGCTGTTTTAGAGACAGAGATAACTCATATATCCAGTCTGCAATCTAGGGCTGTCACTGATACTTTAGCATGGGTGAGCAAGCTCATGCACACACTTTGGTCTCAGTAAAATACAAACACACTCAAAACAAGATGAAATAGAAACTTGTCACACCCAGCTACATAACTCAAAAGAACCAACAGTCTTGCAAGTTTGACTCAAAGTTGAATCCCAGCATTTCTTGTGTCTTTGTTTTTATTGGGCAATTATCATATGCCAGGAAATCATCTAAAGGCTTCACACGTGTTAACCCAGCTCTGCCTTAGCAAACCGAGGTAACCACTGTGTCACGGCAAAGGTAGGACTCATCCTGAAAGGCTGGGGAGCCTGGCCAGGTAGAGAGGTGTGGAAGGGAAAGGTAAGGAGGGGAAGAAATCCAACTTCAGGGCCACTGAGTCTCTTGGCAGCAGTGCAGATTCTAGACAAGGCCCTCCCTCCTTATCGGACAGCTCTGTCCCTCACTCAACCATCTAAATCCCTGACACTGGCCCTACACATAGGTCTTTGCCTAGAAAAGTTTCTCAAGGTTGACCGCCTTCCCCAGATAGGTGTCCCCACCACCCTCACTCCAATACTACACAGGCAACTTCTCATAACTGTTTGGATGTGTCCCTAAAACTTGCTGGCGATAAGGAGGGGGCAAGGTGGGGGATATTTGGGTCCTTAGAATACATCTTTCCATGGAACTGATGCTTGCACTCCCAGAAAAACCATTTAATACCCATGTACTTGCATCAAGCACAAACAAGTATAAGAGTGCTGATACCACAAAGCACTCCCTACTTCCCATCACCACAAAACAGAAAGATCTCATGAGCCTTCACACTCCCAGTGGCTTTAGCTGCTACAGACACTTCCCTCTGAGTCTTTGACCTTTAAGTCTCCAGCCTTAGCTGTTCTGCAGGCTGAATTTGCCCCAAACCTGGTCTCTTTCTCATTTTTCATTGCCTAATGGAGTGTCCATCTGGACTTTCCGATAGTGCTCATCTGTTCAAACCCACTGAGCTACATAGGACAGAACCCAGGGCCAGAGGGCCAGAAGGCCTGATTTTTGCCACCAGCAGCTGGGTGACCCTGGGTAGGTTTCTTTGGATGTCATCATCCTCATGGGTAAAAATATAGGGAGCATGTGAGAAACTACCCAAGGCTCCCTCCTAACTCCAAAGGGAGTCAACCACCCTCTTCTCCCTTCCCCCTTCCAAGGAGCTCCTCCATGCTCTCTTGCTGCTAACAATTGCTTCATTCTTCTCCCAGCAAACTAGCACAAAATGTCAGTGTCCAGTTTGACTCTTTTCTCTCTCCCTCAAATCCAATCAGTTACCAAATCCTGCAGGATTTCTTGGCAAACTCATTCACCTCTGTTCCCTCCTCTCCACCCGTTGACTTGATTTAGGTCCTAAAGTACCGCAATGGGTTATTCCAACAGTACATTCTCATAAACCCCTCCTGTGTCTCCAACCTACCCTTCTTAGCCTGGAATCCTCCTGAAAGCACAGCCTTCACCTAGTCTCAAGGTCATCGACATTACATTTAAATTCTTTAACTCCAGCTTTCAAGACGTTCCAGGATCTCTCCCCAGCCTGAGACTCCAGCCTCACTTCTCCCAGAGTCCCCTCCCCATCCCACCCTATGACTACAGCTCTGCAGGTCACTCATCAGGCTTGTCCTAGTCTTGCAGGTTCTACTCTTGTTCCTTGCCTTATCTCCAGCACAAAACCATCTGCCTTTTCCCCTTTTACTGAAGTCAACACTGCAACACCAGCCAGCTCAAGGTTCTTGTCTCCCACAAACTCTTCCTCAATATCTGCTGAGTGTTGGGTGGAACATAAGGGCTGATGCAGCCCCAGGGCACCTCAGAGTTTGGAGAGAGTGTGGACAGAGACATGCAAATGATGTGCATTAAGTACCAAAGCAGAGATCTGTACCAGATGCTATAGCAAAAATGACTTGGGGGTTGGGGAGGGAGAGGTGTTTCAAGACTCTGATCTGCCTCCTGAAGGATTAGCAAGAGTACACGCATCTTGAAGAGCACAGACAAAAGGACTTCCCAGGAAGAGAAAATAGTGTATGTAAAGGCAGAGAGGCATAAAATGTAGAAATTGTTAGGCTACTCAGCTTGGGGAACAGTGGAGACGCAGCTGGTGAGTCTAATTATTGCCAGCCTCTGTGGAACTCTGAATGCCAAACAAGGATGGTATACTTTATCCCTTTCAGAGGCAAGCCTATCCCATTTTGTCTATACCTTCCAACTACAAATGTGTTATAGAAGCCAAGATCACTGCACAACATGGAACATGATGACTGAAAGCACTGTGCACAGTGAAAGCTGGGTTCTCATGTGCATAAATGTATTTGTGACTGAGAGAGGAAATCAAAGTAAGAATTATCAGGAAGCACCATAGTAAGGATTACCTAGGAGCACTAAATAGAAATCATAAATTTCCCGAAGATAAAGCTGAGAGTGAGCAGCATCCTGGAACTCTCAAAGCCTTGAGGCGATCTAGGTCTAAAGGTAAACAGACGCTCTAAGATGGCATCTCCTAGCAGACTATTCACTGCGTGAGAGAGAAGACTGGCCTGCATGAAGATCTGCAAGACCTGGCTTTCAAAGTCTATAAAGGATACAGCCCACCCTTCTGGGACCAGCAGTGGATTCTGCAAAAACTGAGACACATAGATGTCATCAAGTGTTGAAACCAAAGAATGATGCTAGGAAAACAAGTGTAACTGCTCTGAGGAAGGAGGAAGCAAGAAAAATAGTGACTCAGGAACATACAAAGCTGCCAAGAGTTTCAGGCTAGCTGTGCCCACACCAAGTGATGACAGTGTGACATTTTTTTTTTTCCCTGAGTGATACTTCTTGAATGAGGGTGCTCAGTCTGGGAACTTAATAAACCTTTAAGTTTATTGCCTCACCGTTTAAATGCCTCAATGGTGCTGTTCATATTAGCTATTCCTTCCCATGTTTTGCAAAAGGGGATCCACCAGAAGATTTCAAGCAGAAGTGTCATGAACAAATCTATGTATCAGGAAGGAAATGTTTTTGATAGCCAAGTGAAAAACAGCTTCCAAATATTACCACAAATCTGACAGTCTAAAGGCTACGCCATTCCTTGTCCAAAGCGCAATTCTTTCAGGACTGTTCCTCCTTCCTCACTTCTCCATCTGGCCCCCTAGCCCATAGATTCTCTCTAGTCTCTCCTACCTGTATCCTCTCTGGGGTCCAGCACAGGCCCTAGTCACTTCTATCCTAATTGATCTTCCACTGGGCTTCTCCAACCCCAGGGTCTCTTACCCAGCAGTTTCTACTTGGCCTTCATCAGAATCACAGAGGAATTTGGTAAAAACATGCCAGACCTACTTAAGCTGAGTAATTTAAAAGCTCCCTAGGCAATTCTGAGGCTCAGCCAGGTTTGCAAACTGTTTTTTTTTTTTTAATCCTTGCTTTAGATAAATGAAGGGGCTGCGCTGCTGAGAACTTCTGAGAAATGCAGAATGTCAGGTTCCACCCCGACCTGGGAACCAGAATTTGCATTTGAACAAGATCCCCAGGTGACTCTTAAGCTTGTTAAAAGTTGAAAAGCACTGCTACCAAGTGTTGCCAGATCATTCATTCCACAAATATTTACTGGATTTTCTCCACTGGGCTAGAGGTTTGGGAGGCTGAAAGGGTCAAGGGGCAAGGTCCCAGACTTTAAATTCAGAGAACCATCAATCAGTCTCCTGCTTAAAAGCCATTATGGAGACTCCTGATTTCAAAGCCCAGACTTCTCCACCTGGCCTTCAGGGCCTGCTGGGAACAGGTTTCTTCCTCATCACCAGCTGTATTGTCTCTCACTTGTCACTGGAGCCAAGCTGGGCCACTTGCCACTTCTCAGGCTATGAAGTGCTTGCCTGCCTACACAGTTCTCACAGGGCAGGTCACACTCTACCTACCTCTGCCTGGAGAAATCCTTCAAGGTCCATCATGCACGTGTCACCCCCTTCCTGAAATTATCCCAGGTTTTACGCAGTCAGATGAAAGATAAATTCCCACAATGCTTTGCTCTTACCTCCTTCATAGTATTTATTTCATTCTACTTGTCAGGCACCTGTAGCACATAGCTGAACCAGTAAAGAGACCATGATGCTGTTTATCTCTGTAGTAGCAATAGGCTAATAACTGGCACATCACTGAATCTCAAGTAATACTAACAATAATGTATTAAGTAAAAATTATGAATGAGTGTAGTAAAAGTTCACCAGTCCCCCTCATCTCCCACTTCAAAGTCATCTAAATATGAATTTAAGCAGATTACATACAGACTACCTAAGCCTCAAGTAAAAAAGAAATAACCTCTAAATCAAGTATTTTTTTCATGTAGTACAAATAACAATAAAAGACTGAACACGCAGAAGATGAACTTTGTGTACAGCCAACTGCCGTTGTTGGGCATTAAACTTCATAGAATGCAACATCAAATTTGGTAACATTGCAGATTTGTAGTATAATTGATTAAGGAACTGGGAGAAAGAGATATGAGACAGGAAGTGAACAAAAATATACAAAGGGAGACATATCTATACTAAACATCCAGCTGCTCTAAAAGTAAAAATACTCCGGATTTGTTTTTTTAAGAGGACTAAATGCTGGCTAGAGTGCCTGTTTTGATCTTATGCACATTTTGGAAGCCCTAGTCTTTAAATATATAATCTTATTTTCATCTGAGGAACAACTGAAGGTCTGGAGTCAGGATGTCAGGAAGGAGATGAACCCTCTTTCAAATAGAACCATCCCCGTCTTGCCATATATTGGGACGCAGTGGCTTGAGGTTTGGAAAAGCATGTTGCATTTTTCCAATTACAGTACAGAGTTGATTTCAGCTAAGGCGTTGTAGCTGGACGCACGCTCTGTGGAACACCGATCTGCTTGGGCAAAACGGACTGTAAGCTTCCCGACCACCTTGGGCTATCTCTAGACTACGCCGCTGCTCCAACAGACTGAGCAGAGCTCTGACACACTACACACAACTGGGATGACCGGCCACCCTGAGCATTTCCAGGCCATCCCGGCACCTGTAGGGGCGCGGACACTCCGTAGACTCTGGACAGGACTGGGAGGAGACGCGAAGCAAATCCCCAGGAGTTATATTCTCCCAATCTGGCAAGAGAAGGGGAGGAGGGTCCGCGCCCTCGCGTCTGGGACACACTCGGGGATCTCGGTTCCTAAGGCAATTCCCCTGCGGGGGCTCCCAGTTCAGCCTGCGCAGTGGGCCCGGGGGGCGTGGGGAGAACCCACTGACCTGAGTGCGGGGCTCCTCTCCGGACAGCTCAGGTGTGCGGGCCTTTCACTTGTCCCCCCCACCTCCGAACATGAGAGCCGAGAAACGAGCAGCAGGCTACTGACCCACCGACCAACTAACCGACCAACCAGCGGACCGACCGGCAGCGGCCGCGGCCGGAGCCCACGTGACGGGGGCGGGGACCCACGGGAGACTCGGGAGGCTCGTGCCGGAGTGCCCGCTCCCAGACCGCCCCCCCGCCTTCCCCCGGGACCGCCCCTCTGCCACGCCCCCTCCCTCTAGGCTCCGTGGCAGCACGCAGGGACCCAACCGCCAAGAGTTCGAGTTCCTTAGCGACCTGACTCGCCAACCCCGCCCCTTCGGACCTGCTTAGCCCGCGCCGGTCCAGCCCCAGCCCCGCCCAGCCCCAGCTCCGGCACCGCCTCCTAAGCCGACTTTACCGTCCCCCTAAGCCCCGCCTCCCTCTGGCGGCCCCGCCCCTCGGAGCCCCACCCCTGCTCTTGTCACCTCCTTCTCCAGCACCCTTCCGGCCCCGGGTGACGCCTGGCGATCCTCGGCTCCCCGTTCCCTGGGCTTCTCCGGCCCTTGAGCAGCACCGTTCCTTGGCCATAGGGAATAAAAGCGAAAAGCAGAAAGGGAACTTGTGTCGAGAATTGCAAAAAGAGATGTCATAGAAAGAATGTTTTAGAGGCGGTCCCAGCGCAGCAACCGTTGGGTGTGCCGACTTCTGGGCCCAGGCGATCTAGTTCAAATTGAGGTTGGCCTGAAGGCAATCTCACTTCTTGTCTCTGAGCGCCCCCAGTTCGGAAGACTGAGTCACCCTAGGATCTGGCCGCTCTCGAACCCCGCGACCTGGAGTGGAGGTCCCTCTAGCGGTCAGCGCCAATCAAAGGCGCCGGCACCCGTTCTTGTGAACAGCTGGGGACAGCAGTCCTGTCCTGTGCCCAGCATTTAGGCGGGGGTTCCACAGGCACAACAAAAGCTTTGCTGAGCATAGGAATGGACTGTAGGATCGTGGCAGGACTGGGCCTTTGGGAACCTAGTTCAAGGCCTTCCCCCGGTGTAGGGCGTGAATCCCCTTTGGTGGTACTGCTAGATTGTTGCCCTGTCTGGGCCCACAAGACTTGGTTGCTCAGTTCAGCGGATTAAAATCCCTGTGAGCCTCAGATGGCATCGACACCAAGGACTCTGGCATAGTCCCCAGTTCTGGCAGGAGTCACTACCTCCCTAACCTCAGTTTTTATCTACATTTCTACACGCTGGATTCTTGATCAACTCCACACGACACATCTTTTTTATATTATCCTGATGGTCTGAAATTACTAGTATGCCCAGAAGACTTGTACATGTGAACAAAACTTAAGCCACCCTGGCAAACATGAGACTCTAGTCACTGCAGGAACCTGGCCAGAGGCAGGCCAAGGGCAAAGTCAGGAGAGGAAGGGGCCCACAAGAGTTGTGTTACAACAGGACACTCTTCAGTTCTCTTTCACTTCCTTAAAATAGCAGCTCAGAGGCTTTTATAGAGGAGGCTGCCATGGTTCACACGAGTTCATGAGTGTTTCCAAATCCCACGTGTTATTACCCTAGTGGACCCGCAGTCCTCAGGAAATGCTATATGATAAACAAGGATTTACTGTATAGCACAGAGGACTATATTCAATATTTTGTAATAACCTATAATAAAAAGAATGTGAAAAAGAATATACTGCATCACTTTGCTGTACACCTGAAACTAATAGAACATTGTACATCAACTATACTTCAATTTTTTAAAACTGGTATAAATCACTGACTTTCCAGCTTATTTACACTTTGGGACCATTTTATGGGAGGGGACTTAAAAATTAAGTCCAAAGGCTCTGATTGAATGGTCTGGGGGTATAGCTTGGCATCAGGATATTTAAAAGCTCCTCAGGTGATTCTTAGGTGCAATGAAGTTTAAGAACTACTGGTCTAGATCTTAGGAGCTTCAATCCTCAGTAAAATCCAACAAGAGACCAGAACTGAAAACTTCATCTGAAAGAAGCCCAAGAAGTGTCCACAGACCTACATGTTTGCCCCTGGCTCCCAGGAAACAATGTGCCCCGTTAACGGGGGCTTCCGAGAGAAAATGTCTTAACCTAAAAAGGTGATTCTAGCTGCAGACATTTAAGGCATGAGAGTGGGTTGTTAGTGGCAGGTGTGCCCTGCATAACTGTCAAAGCAAAGCATATCACAGATGAATGGTAGACAGCACATCACAGGCAGCCTCTCTGTGCCTCCAAAGGAACCATGTATGCAGGATTTATGTGTAATCCCACTGATTAATTCCCCTGCTACCCTCATCTGTGAGACACATTCCTTTTCCCTGTGAAATAGGTAATGTTATTTTACCGATGGGGCAGCAAATGGCCCCCACTCCATGGAATGGGTAATATCACCACTTTTATTTATTCATACCTGCCTTATTCCACGGTGGATTTGAGCTCTCTGTATCACTCTGTTAGAACTGCGGGTAACTGTGCTATGTCCATGGGGTTAGAAATTCCATTCTGCCAAACAGCTACTCAAATGCTATGGGAAAGAAAAAGAAAAAAACCACCACCCCTCTCTTCACTGCCCATGGTCCCAGCCTGGGCTTGGCAGAGTTGGAAAACAGCTGCAAACACACAGAGCAAACCCTCTCATGTGACCAACCTGGGAAGACAGGGGCCCCAGCACATGACACAGACTGGCACCACAGCCTGTACGCGTGACCCGAACCAGCCTGAGTGAACAAATGCATGGGAAAGAGTTGGAAGAGGCCCCTCCAGACAGGCCCAGGTGGTCTCTGTCCCCCGTGCCACGCGGCCCGCCTGCTGTGGCAGGGAGTCCCTTCCTTGCTATCTGGCGTCCATCCAGATTCCAGAATATTTACTGAAGGCCTCAGTGGGTTGGGGATTGTTCACAGTAAATCCAGGCACAGGCAGCACTCCCTGAAACTTTTATGCTGAGGCCGTGTAGGCAAATAGAACCTGATGAGGTTTATTTGCTTAGTGTCACTTTTATTGTGTTTCAGGCAAGAAGCAGCAGGGGAAGGTAAGGCAAGATGAGTCTACAGGGGGGTCCTCACCCTTAGGCTGGTTTTCTGGAGGAAGTAGCTATTCAAAGGCCTATAGTAAGGTCTTGTGCAGGCATGAAATAGGTAAAGGGGCAGGCCATTATTTTTAGGCTGAAACAATTAACAAATTGCTTAGAAAAGGTTGGGTGAACAAACATATATTTGATGCTTCCTTGGACAATGACAAGATTATGGGCTTTGCGGTATTTCCTAGCTCTTTCCTTTTGTAGCTTTGGTACTTGGAATGGCTCACCGAAATCCTCTGTCTATAAAGGCTTGTCCCGTTTATCTCATAAGGGTGAGATGAGTTCTAATACAGGTGCAGGCACTTTATAACTGGAAAGTGGTATTCAAATGGTAATATGTTCACTTTCTTATTATGACCGCCTTGCTTGGTGTAGGGACAGTACCAGGGGAAATCAAAATTAAACATCAACAAGAAATATTACTTTACACTATTGATACTGTGTATAGAATAGATAACTAATGATAATATACTCTATAGCACAGGGAATTCTACTTAATGACTGTGGTGACCTGAACAGGAAGGAAGTCCAAGAGGGAGGAGACGTGTGTATGCAGGGCTGATTCATTTTGCTATACAGTAGAAACCAACACAACATTGAAAGCAGCTATACTCGAATAAAAATTAATCCAAAAAAAATAGGACTTTAGTTGGGCAGTGAATAATAGAAGAATATCAATAGGCAACTGTCAAAGAGGAAAGAGCTTGGGCAAAGTCCAGAGGGGAGAAAAGCCAGGAGTATGAGGGCGTGGCCTACATTTCTAATGGCTGAGAAGGTCAGGGTGGGGAGAGTTATTAAAGTACATGCTAAAATGCTTGTCTAAAAAGAAAAGGTTGGAAGTAAGCTGGATCAGGATGTGTTGTTGTGTTTTCATTTTCATTCATTTCTATGCATATTTTCATTTCTTTTTTTTTTTTTTTTTTTGGATCAGGATGTGGAAGGCCTTGAGCACCAGGGCATTGGGATGGGTAATGGAAGTTCCTGAAAATTCCTGAATGACAGACTGTCATCTAAGCTCTTAGAAGATACTGAAGGCAGTACCATCTAGAAAAGGATGTGTGTCCATCCCCACTTGCAGCCCCCTCATCTCCCTGTGTGCCATTAGTGGGATGCTATTAATATATTAATACTATAGTATATTGCAGAGGGGCCCTGGCCCCCAATCCTGGAGCGTAGCATCCCTGGCCCACTGGAATGCATCACTGGAGAGGCTGCTTTCTCTTGGTCTGGAGTTTGTAAATGATCTGATTTCCATCATTCCAGGCATAGAGCTGCTTATCTCTGGGGTTGTAATGGATCATGGAGTGACTTCTCGGCCGCCTGGGGAAGAACAAGTTGGGCAGATTCTCTTCAATGATGGTGCCGAGAGGATCATAGGCACAGGTGATGCGATGTGCGCCCTGGCCTCCAGAACTGTAGACCACGTAGAGGACCCCACACAAGAGGAATGAGGCTTCAGCATCCTGGCTTCTGCACGGAGTGTCCCATGAGTGTTCTACTCCCAGCGTGTCAGGCTCAATTTTCGTGAGAACCAAATGGCTGTGGATGCCTGGTCCTGAGTGGATGGCCCAGAGCCCGTGCTCATCCACAGCCAGGTCAATGTAAGTGGAAGGGGAGTGCTGGTAGGCCAGGGCTCTGCCTGCTCCTCCAAAGAGAAGCATCCGGTCTTCTACAATCCTCTTCTGCAGATTATATTTGATGATCTCATTGAGAGTCCCTTGGCTATGAAAAAACAGGAAACCTTTGTAGATCACTTGGCCTGTTCCCTGCCAGGAATGTGTTAGAATCAGCTTCCGGGGGGCTGGCTTGGTGCTATCTTCCATGAAGGCCCGTATATTGGCAAATTCCCAGACAGTGTTGTTTCTGGACCCAATGAAGACATAAACCTTTGGAGAGTCACTGACAGCATCTTTCATCCAAGAGCCATCTGTGTCCATCGTCTTCTTCACTATTTTCAGAGACTTTATGCCCATCAGCATATTGTCACAGCCTGGCCACAAAAGAGGAAAAGGAGAGGTTACTTTATTAACATATAAGATGTCTGCTTTTCTCACAGATAGCTTTTTTTTCCTTCAGTGTCTAATATTAAATTATCACACAGGGATCAGTCAATGATTGTAGGATTCAATGAATCAAAGACTTTAAAGAGTAACTGAGTTTGCGGAGGGAGTTGCTGTCCAGTTATAAGAGCATTCATTAATCAAGTTTATCAAATCAAGATATAAATAACTATTTGCTGTGTCCTAGGCCCTATTCTGGAGAAGGAAATGGCAACCCACTCCAGTGTTCTTGCCTGGAGAATCCCACGGACAGAGGAGCCTGGTGGGCTGCTGTCTCTGGGGTCGCACAGAGTCGGACACGACTGAAGAGACTTAGCAGCAGCAGCAGCAGGCCCTGTTCACTCTCCACAGCACTTCGAGGTGACATACTGAGTATGGAACCACCTAACTCAGTTGTGTTTGCCAAGATTTTACTAGGTTTCTGCTGTATACTTAGCTTACAGTACTGTCTTAGAATAGTACTAAGTACTAAGGATAACAATTATAATATCAACCCTACAACTTGAGAAGATGACCTTCTAGGAAGGATTCTGGTTCTTAACCCTACTAGAATGTTGTTTTTATTGTTCAGTCGTGTCTGAATCTTTGAGACCCCATGGACTGCAGCATGCCAGACTTCCCTCCCTGTCCTTCACTATCTCACTAAATTTGAGTTTGCTCAAATTCATGTCCATTGACTCATTACTCATGTACTCATGAATGCGTGCGTGCCTTTAGTCAGCCGACTTTGGATACCAACAAAAAGCAAGATACTAAGCTAGGTGTTATGAGCTGGGGGTACAATGATAAATTAGGCATGGTCCTTGCTTAATAGGTGCATGACTTTAGATATAAAGCTTAAAATGATTTTTCTTTCAAAAAAGAGGACAGAGAAAAGACATATAATTTGATACAGGGGAGAACCTGCCTTTGAGTTAGCCCTTGAAAGTCACCTTGAAGGACATTCTGAAAGGGGTGAGAAACTTTCCCAATAGTTAACAAAATTGCATTTGGGAAAGTCCTTCAAACTTAGTGAAGTAGTATAGAGTTTCATCCAGTATAAGCTAAATCCTTTGTGTATAAAACTAGATGCATAAAACAAACTAGTTGAAATCTGCTCTGTGCCTGGAACCTTGAGGGTGGAGCTAAGGAATATGGATTTAATTCTCCAGGAAGGTAGGGAGCTACTGAAGCTTTTGAATAAGAATGAAACATGGCTAAACTGTTCTACAAGACTAATTAAGCTGGTAGTCATGTGTACAATAGATACATGAGAAAGAGACTAAAATCAGGGAAACCAAGCAGAAGGTATTTCTGTAATCCAAACAGGATGAAAGGGTCTAAACTAGGTGGAGGAAGATGAAATAAAAAGAAGGGGCCTATATTTCTCTAGCTCCTCACTGCCACTCAGACTATTACTCTCTCAAAATTCCCTTCCTTCTTTGATCCTAGATCGATTCAAAGATCTGCCTCTGCCCTTGAGAGCTGTGTGTTGGTGGAGAAACTCTCACATTGGTGCCTACTAGTATCATTACACTAAGGGGTCTTCAACGTCAACTGAGCCCAAAATACTATACTGCTCTCCATGCTCAGCCCATCTTCCACATGGCAGCTATCTTAAATCCCTCCCTTTGCCCCACAACTAGCCCATCAATCCTTCATAATAACACCTTTGCAAACATAAATACTATTAGACATGAACTTCCTCAACTTCCTGCTTCTCACTTACAGACTTTTTCTTTAACTCCTAACCTTGTTACCCTCCCACATATCTTAGAAGTGGCCACGTCATTCCTCCTGTGAAGACTAATTAGTTCACCTGCACTCCTGTCTCATCCTTTCCTGCCTTCTAGATTTCCTCCATGAATGATTCCCCTTTCTATCTCAGATTTCTCCTTCACTACTAGTTCTTCAGCTTGTAAATATCAATTCTCTCACAATTAGACACCTTTTTCAATTTACTTCACTCTACCATTTTATAGAACTAGATTCTCCTATAGTTTGTACTCTCTGCACCCATTTCTTCACCTCCCATTATTTCACTTCACCATAACTTCACAAAAATGACCCTTTATAACATGACCAGGGACTTCCTCACTGAAAACTTAAACCTTTTATGTCTGTATCTTAGCTGACCTTTCTGTAGAATGGCAATATTGATTAGTTCCTCCTTCTTGAAGATTTTTTTTTCCCTCGATCTTTTAAAAGTATATATATATATTTACTTATTTCTATTATATTTTTTGGCTATGCTGGATCTTTATTGCTGTGTGGGCTTTTCTCTAGAGGCAGCAAGTCGAGGCTACTCTCAAGTTGCAGTGCGTGAGCTCTAGGGCACACAGGCTTCAGTAGTTGGCGGCACATTAGCTCAGCAGTTGTGGTTCCTGGGCTCTAGAGCACAGGCTCAGTAACTGTGGTAAACAAGCCTAGTTGCCTCCTGGCATGTGGGATCTTCCTGGATCAGGGATCGAACCCGTTTCCTGCATAGCAGGCAGATTTTTTTACCACTGAACCACCAGAGAAGCCCTCCCTTGATCTCTGTGTCACCACAGAGACAAATGTCTGTGTTCATCAGGTGCCATTTCATTTTCCTCTTCTCCAGTCACACGTTCGAAGCCTCCTTTGTACATAAGCTGCACCCATTGATCTATGTCCTGTCCAATGGGATGTGGACAGAAGTGGTGTAAGCTTTCCTTTCCACCTGGCCCTTACATATGCTATCTTCAAGAAGACCTCAGGGTCTTGGAATTCTCATGGTGAACAAGTTAGAGAGAGATGTGGGTCAAGATTAGATAAATGCCAACTCGTCATTTTAGGAAAAGTGGGTCATCAGTTCCAGTCATGAGCTTGTTGCTGGGATGGCCCTTTTTAGACAGTCTGTTGTGAGGTGAGCAGTATCACAGAGGCAGGGTGTGGTGGCCTGACTAAAAGCATGAGAAATCCTGTAACTCTCCCTCAAATCGGGCCAAGGTCTGTATCACAGGTAGGAGAGGAAAAGTCTTAAGAAAAGCACAGAAAGTCTCTGGGTCTCCCTCACTGACTGCTATAGGGTGAGGTGGTGGAGTGACAGTCAAATGTATAACAGTCTCTTGAGGAGAACTGAACATCCCAAGGGCCTCCACAAATCCTTCCAAAAGCTTCAATATAAGAAACTGGATGTGCCAATGGGTTGTCATTTTGTTCTTAATAAATACCTAGGTTCTCCAGGCCAACTGGAGGCCAAATGGAGTCAGAGGAAAAGAAATATGGTGAAAGGAGAGAAAGTGGACACAAGGAGGAAAGATGTATGGCCAGAGAAGTCCCAGAGGTGGAGGTGAGTAAGCATTTAGCAAACTGCATGTTCTACCAGTTATTTGGGAACCAGTCATGAATGACAAGAAAAAAAAAAACCCAGAAAGATAGGAGGACAAAGAAAAGCAAAGGTGTTCTACAATCAAGAGAAGAAAGAGTTTCAGGGAGAAGTAGCAATCAAGTAATCAGTGTTTACTGAGAAATTGATTAGGATGAAGATGGAGAATTGACTCAGGTTTTGCAACATGGAGGTTGTTGGTGACTTTGAGAAAAGCTGATCCAGTGGAGCAGGCTGGGGAATTTAGACCTGTGGAGACCTGGAGCTGATCTGAGTAGCTTAGGGCATAATTGAAGGTGAGGAACCCTACCACAGTTCTTTAATCAGTTCATCACCCACAATGACCGTACCTTTTCTTCTTTCCTCAAGCCTCCATCATAGTCTCCTCACTTTCCTAGGAAGATCTCACCTCTGATTTCACTAAGAAAACAGGCACAATCAGAGAACAATATCATCTCTAGCGTGGATTACTGCAATAGCCTACCTGGTGGCCACACTTCCATCCTTGGCCTCAGAGGCCATTCCCCACAGCTGCCAAAGTTATCTTTGAAAAATGTAAGTCAGATCATGTCCCCTGTCTGCTTAAAACTCACCAGTGACTTCCCATCTGACTCAGAGTAAAGCTCAGGTCTACCTTCCAGGCCATCCGGGGCTGGCTGTCTGCCCACTGCCTCTCTGCCTTGTTTTCTGCAAGCTCCCTTACTTTGAGCATTTTGTTCAGCTACACTGGCCTCCTTGCTGTGCCCCAGACTGTGCCAAGCATACTCCTGCCTCAGGAAATCGGCACATTTTGTTCCCTCTGATTGGAACCCTCTTCCTGAAGATAACTACATGCCTTCCTCCCTCGCTCCATTTAGGTCCACTCACAAATGTTCCCTCATCATTAAGGTCTCCTCTGATCACCCTATTAAAAATGGCAGCCCCCTTTTCCAGCTCTGCATAACCCCCTTATCCTAGCTCATTGTTCTCCATAGGGTTTGTCATCTTCTATCTGATGTATTATAAATTCATCTGTTAACATATTCATTGTTCAGCTCCCCTCAATAGAGTATAAACTCCATGAGGACATGAGCATTGTCTTATCTGTTTCATTCACTGCTGTGTATCTTGCCCCTCGGATAGCAACTGGCACATAGGAAGCCAGTGTTTGCTCAATGAATGAGTTTTCCAACTAACCAATCTATTAATCAATTGCACATGAACCCATATTATTTGCCTTCCCTCCTGCTCTCTTTACTTTTGCAATGAATCTTGTTCCCTTCACCAACTCAAGGACTTAGCACCTGAAATTACCTCCCACTCTGTAAACAACCAGGCTATAAGATCATCCTAGAAGCTTTCTAGTGTGACCCCATTTCTCTGCTCCACTTTATAATAAAACTCCTTAAAAGAGGAGGTTCCTTACCTCCAATTATGCCCTAAGCTACTCAGATCAGCTCCAGGTCTCCACAGGTCTAAATTCCCCTGCCTGTTCCACTGGATCAGCTTTTCTCAAGGTCACCAACAACCTCCATGTTGCAAAATCTAAAGGTCAATTCTCAGTCTTCATCCTAATCAAGTTCTCAGTAAACTTTGATTACTTGATTGCTACTTCTCCCTGAA